GCGCTTTAACATCGATTACTGACCAGACAACTCAATAGAAAATATATTACTCACCAGACAACTTAATATCGATTACTGACCAGACAAATCAATAGTAAATATATCGAAAATATATTACTCACCAGCATAAACAATGAACTAATTATAAAAAATAGATTACTTACTAAAGTTGACTCTGCTCTGCAGACCATCTCTGCTTCGACGTTTCTGTTCGACTTTGAACTTGTGATTACCGATGCCGTGAAGCTGAGGGATTTAATAAACCCTTTATTAAAGTAGCAGTCATCGCTTGGAAAAATAAGTTCATTGGTATCACTGGCTGTACACACATCAAAGTAAGGCAGAACGTCACCGTAGTAGTCACACTCTGTGGAAGGGAGTGCAGTTAGAGAAAACAGCGTGTCCTCAAAGTTAGATAGGCGTTGTATAGAGGCTTTGCAGTGACGTCACAAAATCAGAAGCTCACGGGCAACTCTTCCGAACCTTAGATCCAAGCGCGCCCTCTACCACAGGAAGTTGTTAAAAGCGTTATTTTTGTTTCTAGGAAATGATCACCAGGTTAGAAACTGGTCATTTTCTTCGGCTTGGATGCCGGGGAAAAACAAGGGGACCAAGCTATTTTTAAATTGAATAAAGGAGGCATGCCTTTTTCCTATTGTCTTGGAGGAAACCAATCAATTCTGTTATGTGCAGAAAAAAATACATAGTTTTAATCAGACACAATATTTACATTAATGATTATTGGACAATTTTTATTGCACAAAAATATTCAAGTTCATGAACTTTCTTTTATTTTATGAAGTTTATTGTATTTTTTAATTGTTTTCTTCTTTGAATAACTCAACTCATCATAATGTATAATACCAAAGAAGGTAGCAAAAAATGAGCATGATATATTTGCCATAAAATTTATCATTAATACAAAATATCAAAAAAAAGTATATAACATAACGGTATATGAACTATTTGTAAATCTTGAATGTCAATATCACCAGCACCATTTCAAAATCACAAGTTCTATTTAATAGCATCACTGCTGCCATATGCTGAGGGATGGTCGAGTATGTGCATTCTAATTTGCAGCATATATACCTAAATGCGCTGAGCAATCCAAAACAATTACTTTGCGCAAAAGTGTGTTCGAGGTCGATTTAGTTGCAATTTTCGTAGCCATCGCCATTAATTCACAAAAACAACTTTTAAATTTTAAAACTGTTTAAAAATAAATCAAAGCTTCATGAAATGCACACAACTACTGCTTATTTACAATGTAAAATTGAATAATTTTTCTGAAAACTAATGTAACTCATTTAACAACTTCCCGTTGTAAAGGGCGCAATTGATTCTGAGGATCTAACAATTTGCCATCTGTGGTTCAGAGTTTCTGATTCTGAAATGTGTAAATACCAACAATTTATTCAGATTGTCGCCATGTTGTAAACTGAACCATACAAGGACATTTTCAGAAAAAAACAGGCATTTTTTTTAGAAAATTATGGTTATATACAGAAATCAATGGCGGCCATTTTGTCAGTTTTGGAATCTTTCTTTCTTTCAGTGGTTGTCATGGAACAGCTCATGTCTCAAATTCGTTCATGCTGTCATGTGGTGAAATGAACAAATATCGTCACTGAAAATTTTTTCATCTTGAGCATTTTCCGTGGAGTTCATCGAAATACTAGTAGACCGTAAAGGGTGAACCATTAGAACATCTAGGGGAGGGTAGAAATCATGCAGGGATCAATAACAGAAACAAATATTTCACACAGAGGAAATAACAAAAATTACAGTGAATTCATCACTGAAAAGCAAATCAACACAAAACTAAGTGAATAAAAAAATATCTGCGTAGTTTTTTTCTGTCATTGCTTTCATGGTTAATTAAAGCGCGGTAGGACGTTGCGCAGCGCGTGTTCGAATTTCATGTAAACAAACAATGTATTTTACATGCGTTGTATACGTCGCTATGAGTCCCATATCGATCAGGACGCGGCGCGATGACCACCTCCCTTCTAACATTCATTTTCTCAATACTTGTATGCAATATAGCTTTTACATTGAAACTAAAAACTGTGACTACTGTGAGAACATTCTGATCTTCATAAGTTTGATATTTCTGCATTTACGATTTAAATGTAGTTCAGCGGGATTATGATACACCATGGATGTTCTTAGTACATCCATGGATACACTTACTGAGATAATATATTCACTACTACGCATGCGTAAACACAATGAAATCGTCACATAAAGAGACAGGAAATGTCTACTCATGGTCTACTCTGGTTCAATGAAATCATGTGCTATTTACAGACCTGACCTGGCATTGAGGTCAGTCACTTCACAGGGAAAAACATGCGGCGTACGCCCATGTCGTATTGGGTACTATTGAACTACAAGTTGAAATAAATAGACAAGATCTCGTTATGATTATGCTGCATGGGCGATCAGCCGTCAAGAGACAATGGAAAGCACGAAAAGGACACTGTGTATGTTGCTGTGTTGTTTCATTTTACACACAGGGAACGCTAAAACCAATAAATATGTGCGACTGATATGTAGGTGAGGTCAGTTAACAACAACAACGGATCTTACTGTTAACAGCAGCATTATGTATTGGAAGTTGAAAGACCCATATCGTCAGTACGTATATCGCAACCATAGCCATACAATCTTTGTCCTTCCTCATTGAAGACGAAAGTTAGTTCTAAAAGTCGCAGCGGTAATAGTTGCTCCTAAAGTCTGCCACTATATGGCTGCTGTTTTCGGCGTCGTATTAGGTGTGACCAGAACAGATATCTCATGAACGACTCTGGTACATACTTAGATTATACAAAGGAACAGCACGGCAACGTCGTTGAATATACCGGTAGTCATTTCCGGTCAACGTTGTTGTACCCCGGTGTAAGATTTCAACGCCTACAATTTCGGGGAATTTCCCATAAGTTGCTGTTAAATCCATTGTGATTAACATATGACGACGGGCGCAAAAGCTTCGCGATGAGTGGCTTTTCGTGGTAAGTGATTTCGTAGCGGGTAGCTTTCGCGGGGAGTAGGGCTTTGTAATCGTCGGTGAAACGAAAGTTTTATGTGCCTTTAACAACTGGTGCTATTCTGAGAATA